CCTCATTTCGTGGACAATAACAAGGTCGGCGAGATCTTCACGAGCACCATCGAGCCAGTTGTTGAAGGGAGCAGCTCTACAACACAGTCAACTGTAATCACAGTATATATGCTTGATAATGGATATACCTTTTAGCAAAGTCGAGATACAGGGCATCCAAACGTTCGGCCACATGCTCAGCTTCTTCGAGAGCTATTCTTCTTTGAGTTGCCAGTTGCCCAAGGCGATCCCATTGAGAACAGATAGCCTAAAACGTTCATAATTCATCTGTGATAAGATTTCGAAATGCTGACGATACAACGCTATTTTTACACGGATCATTCTTAGCTAGAAGATACTATATTGATTATTTCTATTCGCAAGAAAATTTATTCTACTAGTCCATGAGCGCATCATACAAATCGCAGTCTTAGAATATATGCAGAGCATACTTATTAAGCCAAACTTATTTTCTTGAACATTCTGCGTAAGAGACAGATGATTTAAAACACTGAAAATAGATTAAACAATTAACAAATATTTGTTTTCTATAAAATTATTCGACGAATAAATAATATTCAAAGCGCCATTCAAAATATATTTGAATGTGGGGATCCTGAATATTCGACTATTCGAGTCGTCGAGTAATTTGGCATAACCAAATATCGCATATTCGAATGATAATAAGTGCAATATTTGAATATTGGAATATCCAGATGATCGAATCTCGAATATTTTTTTAGTACAGATACTCGATCTCAATTATGTTCGATGACTTAGCAGTTACTCGAACAAACAAATATTTAATGATTTCGAACAAACGAATTATAATCAAATTCGAATATGTGAATGTCAGTGTTCTGAAATGCTCGACAAATAATCAAAGAAATGCATCTTTTTGAATACTCGACTACTCGAAAGATCAAATAAATGCGTTTTACCAAATATTCGATATAGATTATTATTCAAAATGCTCGAGGGTTTTTTTTCCAGTACACAGAGCTTGTAACAAAAAGCATCACCATCGGCTGCCTCCGCATTTGGCAATACTACTCCATAAATTCCCCCGTGATGGTCTACCGCCTCATCGTAGCGCGGGGTATACTCTGGGTGTCGAGCTGCGAAGTACAGCGGAGATTTATCCTCCAGCAGGGTCTCCCAAGCTGAGAAGGAGTGCGACGTTTCCGGTTTCCCGAATGCCCAGCCAAAATGATACCAGAAGCAGCACTGTCTGGATGATTCAGTCGCTAGGTGGCTCCCTGATCCACATAAGATCAGCCATTGGCTGTGATGAAAGCTTGGCAGGGCTCTGGCAAGGCACTGCTAATGTTTGGGGAAAGGTCCTTCACCTCTTGCCTGTACAGCATGTAAGAGAAAAAGAAGCCCTGCACACTGGATCACTCTACGGCGTCGGATGTTATCAAGACCAGTGTCAGGTTGCATAGGCCATAGATTTCGGACAAGACACGTCAACGGCTCGCGTGGAGACAGTCTCATGCTGTGCACCTACAACGCCAGGATAGTCGCCACCAAGGCCAATCTTCACGCGCTTCTCGGGCGCATCAACTATCACGTAATCGTCTTGCAGGGAACAAAGTTAAGGAAGACGGACGTGAGGCAGCTGAGTGATGGCACACTCATCATTCGTGGTGAAAATGTTCCATCACGGAAAGTTGGAAGCGTTGATTTTGTCGCACATCCATCTGTTGTCCATCTTGTCAATTCGCATGAGATCCTATCACCTCGCCTGGCTATCCTTCGACTC